CAATAATGTTTATCTTTATCAGGGTACCGTATATACTTGTACCTCGTGTATTGGTCGACCCAAGTTTTTGAGGGTAATGGAACAACAAATTAGGGTAATAAAGCACCATATTTTATGGCATATAAAATTCATTTCAGAAAACCTTCACTAAAAACACTCTGTGTCCTATAAACTGAGGGTTAGCTGTGCCGAAACACGATTACCGAAAGGCAAATTGATTACCATTACGGCACTTTACACAGAATTGGGTAGTTTCAGCAAATATTGTAGATTTCCATTCAAGTATTCATTCAAGATAATTAGGATAGAATATTATTGTAATACAACAGTTTTTAATTGAAAACCATTCAAAAAGATTACGGTAACATCTTTTGAACAACGAAAGAAAATGAAAGTTGATTGTTTTTGGCGTGGTTTTATCCCACTCACTGTAATATTGTGCATTTCAGCAAAAATATTACATTTCCTTGAATGTATTATATTGAGCACAGCATGGATAGAATATCATTGTAATACAACAGTATTTTAACGAAAACTATCAAAAAACGAGTAACATCTCTTGAACATCGGAAGGTTAGGTAAAGGTCTTTTGTTTCGTCGTGTACTTTATCCTATTTTACATTGAAATACATCACGTTTCAGCAAAACTACTACAGTATTTATTTCTGAGAATTCAGGCACAGTTAAGGTCAAATATACATGTGATGTAACAGTTTTTTAACTGAAAACGATTCGAAAAACACATCCGTCTAGCCGATACGTCAGAGCCCTGGTTGCGGAGGCTTTGCATTGGCCCTTCCCGAGCAGCCTTTAATATTACCGTACGTTGAAATTGTGTTTATATTCTTACTGTCTTGCTTCTTATTTTCCAGAAATATGACAAGTTTGTATGATATAATACAATGTTGCGGTACTTTTAATTTACAAGTACAGTACAGTGATCCCTCGGTTAACGAGCGCCTCGGTTAACAGCTCGGTTAACAATTACCTTCCATAAGATTCTTAACTTCGGTTAACGAGCATTCCCTCGATTAACGAATTCCTTCTGGCCCCTCAACATGTTTTAACGCTCACTAGCTGTCATTAGTCCGCCAATACAGTAATGGTTCTAGGGCTTAAATTTCTTACTATTTTAGTAAATATCAAGAAGTTTGTACTATTCAATAATTTTAAAAGTCTTATATTAAATTTTTTAGTCATTTTAACAATTATTTTACATAATTTAAGTACAGAACTAGTTTTTAGCATGCCAGACAGCCCTCAACACACCAAACAGTAAGGAATTTACTACAGCTGGTGGACCGCCAAATGCAAGCTAAAACATGGAGGCGGCTCGTAGAAACTCGTTAACCGAGGGTGGTGCGTTGCGTAAACAATATGAGGTTGAGGTGGATTATTATATTAAGTGTGAAATATCGAAAAGGTTTTATTACCGGTATTTTTGTCGATCTCACGGCTACTGTGATACGTATATGATATAATAAGTTAGCCCGTGGCAAGAACTTCAACATAGACTACTGAAAACCGTTGTAAGGTAAGTTAGCCTATTGTTAAGTTGGTGAGCTTCATCTGCTGAAGGAACTGCACAGTTTATCATTACTAATTGGTACATATTTTATGTTTCCATTGTTTACTGGCAGTAAATGTTAAATATTTTTCATGTCTAAAGCTAAAAGTTGCTCCTCGCCCTTCCCATCATGCACGGATACAACCTAACTACACTATTACCCATGTAGAGGTTGACCCCCAAATTTTTTGCCTAAAAATTTGGTCTTAAAACTCTACTATACAAGACTATATACAGTACTGTACTTGTTCTCAACACTATTATCAATGTTTCATTACCTAAAATAATTTACATTGCTATGTCTTGCTGGCCAAGACGTGGTTAATTATCACCAAACATTCCTGCCGACAAAAACGGATCACCCGCGACGATGGCATCTTTGTTGTGGGGCAGCACGAATTATATTTATTTACGGGAAAACAACAACATTATCAGGTTGGTTATTTCGGTGGAAATAAATTTTGTCCAAACTAACTTTAAGGTTTACATAGACGGTCTACTGGGCTTCTAAATCTCTACTCTAATCCTTGCCAACCTAACCTAACCTAGTGTGGCTTCTACTGTATATTAGCACCAATGATGGTAACATATTGACAATTATGTAAACACCAACTTTTCATCGCTCTTTGGACCTTAATGAGATAAACTAACATTTTCTGGAAAAAAAAATGTTGTTAGGTTATGGTAGGTTAGGTTATGGTAGGTCAGTAGTAGGGGTTATGGTAGGTTAGGTTATGGTAGGTTAGGTGGTGTGTTATGGTAGGTTATGTTATGGTAGGTTGGTGTAGGTTAGGTTATGGTAAGTTATGGTAGGTTATGTTATGGTAGGTTATGGTAGGTTAGGTTGTGGTAGGTTATTGTAGGTTAGGTTAGAGTAGGTCAGTATGGTAGGTTAGGTTATGGTAGGTTAGGTATGGTAGGTTGGTAGTAGTAGGTCAGTTTATGGTAGGTTATGTTATGGTAGGTTGGGTTATGGTAGGTTATGTAGGTTGGTGGTAGGCTGAGGTTAGGCGGTAGGTTGTGTTATGTAGGTTAGGTTATGGTAGGTTATGTTATGGTAGGTTATGGTAGGTTGGTGTGTTATGGTAGGTTATGGTGGTTATGTTATGGTAGGTTATGTTATGGTGGTTGGGCGTAGGTTATGTTATGGTAGGTTGGTAGGTTATGTTATGGTAGGTTATGTTGTGGTAGGTTAGTGTTGTGGTAGGTTGTGTTGGGGTAGGTTATGTTATGGTAGGTTGTGGGTCATGGTGGTGGTTATGGTAGGTTATGTTATGGTAGGTTATGTTGTGGTAGGTTATGGTAGGTTATGTTATGGTAGGTTATGGTAGGCTAGGGGTTAGGTTATGTTATGGTAGGTTAGGTCATGGTGAGGTTATGGTAGGTTATGTTATGGTAGGTTATGTTATGGTAGGTTATGGTAGGTTAAGGTAGGTTATGGTAGGTTATGTTATGAGGTTGTGGCGGTAGGTTATGTTATGGTAGGTTATGTTATGGTAGGTTGTGTTATGGTAGGTTATGGTAGGTTAAGGTAGGTTATGGTAGGTTATGTTGGGGTTGTGTTATGGTAGGTTATGTTATGGTAGGTTAGGGTAGGTTATGTTATGGTAGGTTATGGTAGGTTGGGTGTAGGCAGTTATGGTAGGTTATGGTAGGTTATGTTATGGTAGGTTATGTTATGGTAGGTTATGTTATGGTAGGTTAGGTTGGGGTAGGTTGTGTTGTGGTAGGTTATGGTAGGTTAGTTGTGGGTTGGTTATGGTAGGTTATGTTGGGTAGGTTGGGTGTGTTGGGTTATGGTAGGTTGGGTAGGTGTTATGGTGGAGGTTATGTTATGGTAGGTTATGGTAGGTTGTGGTAGGTTATGGTGTGGTGTTAGGTTATGGTAGGTTGGATGGTAGGTTATGGTGGTAGGTTGGTGTTGGTAGGTTATGTTATGGTAGGTTGTGTTGTGGTAGGTTATGTTATGGTAGGTTAGTGTTGTGGTAGGTTGGTGGTAGGTTGGTAGTGGTAGGTTATGGTAGGTTATGTTATGGTAGGTTATGTTATGGTAGGTTATGTTATGGTAGGTTATGTTGTGGTAGGTTATGTTGCGGTGTTGGGTTTGGCGGTAGGTTATGTTATGGTAGGTTGCGGTAGGTTATGTTGCGGTAGGTTGGGGTAGGTTGCGGTAGGTTGCGTTGTGGTGTTGCGTTGGGGTAGGTGGTAGGTTGTGGCGGTAGGTTAAGGTAGGTTATGGTAGGTTATGTTGTGGTAGGTTATGTTGTGGTAGGTTAGGTCATGGTAGGTTATGGTAGGTTATGTTATGGTAGGTTATGTTTATGGTAGGTTATGTTATGGTAGGTTATGTTATGGTTATGGTAGGTTAAGGTAGGTTATGGTAGGTTATGTTATGGTAGGTTATGTTATGGTAGGTTAGGTCATGGTAGGTTATGGTAGGTTGTGTTATGGTAGGTTATGTTATGGTAGGTTATGTTATGGTAGGTTGTGTTGGGGTAGGTTGCGGTGTTGCTGCAGGTAGTTGCGTTATGGTAGGTTATGGTAGGTTGGGGGTGTTGGGGTAGGTTGGTAGGTTGTGGTGGGTTGGTTATGGTAGGTTGGGTAGGTTGTGGGTAGGTTGTGTTGTGGTGCGGAGGTTGGTTGCGGTAGGTGGTAGGTTGCAGGTTGTGTTGTAGGTTATGTTATGGTAGGTTATGGTAGGTTATGTTATGGTAGGTTATGGTAGGTTATGTTATGGTAGGTTATGTTATGGTAGGTTATGTTATGGTAGATTATGTTATGGTAGGTTATGTTATGGTAGGTTATGTTATGGTAGGTCATGGTAGGTTATGGTAGGTCATGGTAGGTCATGGTAGGTTATGCTATGGTAGGTTATGTAGGTTATGGTAGGTCATGGTAGGTTATGGTAGGTCGTAGGTTATGTTATGGTAGGTTATGTTATGGTAGGTTAAGTTATGGTAGATTATGTTATGGTAGGTTATGTTATGTGGTAGGTTATGGTAGGTCATGGTAGGTTATGGTAGGTCATGGTAGGACATGGTAGGTTATGTTATGGTAGGTTATGTTATGGTAGGTTATGGTAGGTTATGTTATGTTATGGTAGGTCATGGTAGGTTATGTTATGGTAGGTTGGTGGTAGGTCATGTAGGTCATGGTAGGTTATGGTAGGTTATGTTATGGTAGGTTATGGTAGGTTATGTTATGGTAGGTTATGGTAGGTTATGTTATGGTAGGTCATAGTAGGTTATGTGGTAGGTCATGGTAGGTTATGGTAGGTCATGGTAGGTCATGGTAGGTTATGGTAGGTCATGGTAGGTGCGGTAGGTCATGGTAGGTCATGTTATGGTAGGTTATGGTAGGTCATGGTAGGTCATGGTAGGTTATGGTAGGTCATGGTATCATGGTAGGTTACAGGAAGAGTAACAACACTGACCTTGCTGTGTGATGTTGTAGTCTGGGCTGAAGACTTCTTCAAGCACTGTCTGCTGCTGATCCTCCACTGTCTGCTGCTGATCCTCCACTGTCTGCTGCTGATCCTCCACTGTCTGCTGCTGATCCTCCACTGTCTGCTGCTGATCCTCCACTGTCTGCTGCTGATCCTCCACTGTCTGCTGCTGATCCTCCACTGTCTGCTGCTGATCCTCCACTGTCTGCTGCTGATCCTCCACTGCTGCTGATCCTCCACTGTCTGCTGCTGATCCTCCACTGTCTGCTGCTGATCCTCCACTGTCTGCTGCTGATCCTCCACTGTCTGCTGCAGGGTGAAGGTCATGCTTCAGGTGGTAGAGGCGTCAAAGCCATAATGTTCCCAGCCTGACGTGAGGGGCACCATTATGACGTGAGGGGCACCATTATGACGTGAGGGGCACCATTATGACGTGAGGGGCACCATTATGACGTGAGGGGCACCATTATGACGTGAGGGGCACCATTATGACGTGAGGGGCACCACTATGACGTGAGGGGCACCATTATGACGTGAGGGCACCATTATGACGTGAGGGGCACCATTATGACGTGAGGGGCACTATGACGTGAGGAGCACCACTATGACGTGAGTGGCACCACTATGACGAGGGGCACCACTATGACGAGGGGACCATTATGACGTGGGGCACCACTATGACGTGAGGGGCAATTATGACGTGAGGGGCCCATTATGACGTGAGGAGCACCACTATGACGAGGGGCACCATTATGACGTGAGGGGCACCATTATGACGTGAGGAGCACCACTATGACGTGAGGGGCACCACTATGACGTGAGGAGCACCACTATGACGTGAGGAGCACCACTATGACGAGGGCACCATTATGACGAGGGCACCACTATGACGTGAGGGGCACCATTATGACGTGAGGGGCACCATTATGACGTGAGGCACCATTATGACGTGAGGGGCACCATTATGACGTGAGGGGCACCACTATGACGTGAGGGCACCATTATGACGAGCACCACTAAGACGTGAGGGGCACCACTATGACGTGAGGAGCACCACTATGACGTGAGGGGCACCACTATGACGTGAGGGGCACCACTATGACGTGAGGGGCACCACTATGACGTGAGGGGCACCATTATGACGTGAGGGGCACCACTATGACGTGAGGAGCACCACTATGACGTGAGGAGCACCACTAAGACGAGGGGCACCACTATGACGTGAGGGGCACCACTATGACGTGAGGGGCACCACTATGACGTGAGGGGCACCATTATGACGTGAGGAGCACCACTAAGACGTGAGGGGCACCACTATGACGTGAGGAGCACCACTATGACGTGAGGAGCACCACTAAGACGTGAGGAGCACCACTAAGACGTGAGAGCACAGTGTGTACACCACACTGTTGGGTGGCTGACTGAAACTGAACACCATCACCTCAGGACGCCTCACAAGTGGTCACCATGACAACCACAGCACCACAACACACCTTCACCATACACTGTATTATAATAAACCCAAGTTATATTTATATGAATAAATTATATTTTATTATTGGCGTGTGAGGGTTGACTACTGACCTGCAACACACAAAATATAGACCAATAAACGAAATAAACAATAAATAATTAACTAAATCACTTCATTAACCTTTAACAAATTAAGTTTTATCTATAAATTTTATAAAAAATATAATAATAATGTTTATAAAATTAATGGATTATACAGCAGATGTTTTACCAAGTTTGTTATGGTGAGGTGAACATTCCTGTGTGTGTGTCATCAGAGGAGGGAACAGCTCTCACTGTCAGCAGAGGAGGGAAGAAGCTCTCACTGTCAGGAGGATGGCGTCAGGAGGCAGCAGTCAGGACCACTACAACAGTCCTCTCACCACCAGATACGCCTCACAACAAATGTCTTATAACTTCAGTGATAACAAGAAGTTTATAACATGGCGCAGGTTGTGGGCCATGTTAGCCAAGGCTCAGAAGGTGTGCCATGTTATTACCTTATGTCCTACTACACAGATGTTTGATTTGGTTCATTTCTCCACAGATGTTCTTATAGATTTTGTTCATTTCTCCACAGATGTTCTTATAGATTTTGTTCATTTCTCCACAGATGTTCTTATAACTTTAGTCAATATTTTAAACGAGTGGATATTTTGCCGTGACCGGCCAAGTTTCTACTAACGCTATTTTACCGTGAGTGTGGTCTGATTGGCTAGTCAAATAAAAACCAGGTAAATTTTTACTTAAGGACACGAGTCCCGAGGGGTTGACCAATATGTTTTTCCAGTGTATTTTGGTGAGTTTTAAACGAATCTGACCTTTTTGGGGCAGAAATTGGTAGTTTTGCCCCCAATAATAATGGGGGAGAGCCTGAGAAATCGGGGTTTTTGGTGGAAGAGAAAACGAAAATGAGTTATCTGACCTAACAAAACCTAACCCCCTAGATGGGGGCTCTGACCCGACCCCGGTAGGCCTAGCTTAGACTAACCTAAATGTTTCAGTAGTTTATATCTTTGGGGTTCGCTGTGTCCTAAAGTAAAATAATACCCAAAACAACAATGCACAGAACCTATTAGAACCTAACCTTACTAAACCTAACCTAATCTAACTTAACCTAACTTAACCTAACCTAATCTAACTTAACCTAACTTAACCTAACCTAATCTAATTTAACCTAACTTAACCTAACCTAATCTAACTTAATCTAACTTAACCTAACTTCACCTAACAGCACCTTACCCATCTGGTAAAACTGTACATTACAGCAACCAAAGAATCTGATAAAAAAAAAAAGGTGTTTTTCTGATTTGGTTTTGATGCGATTGGTTCAAATCTGACATTAGTTTTTATCGGAAATCACTGTTTTAATTCCCCCCCCCATAAAAGTTTTGTCTATTGCGTGTTCTTAATTCCCGGTACTTTGTGCTGCTAACTTATGCCATATAACCAAACTAAACCTTACCTAACAACCTAGCCATCCCCGATGTGTTATGCCCCATAATTTATCTTTCTTATGGGGAAAATCGATCCGCTTAACGTCACGTTTTTAGGAACGTAACCCTGACGTTAGGCGAGGACTTACTGTATACTGTACTGTACAATCTCCTGAATGTAATACTTAGCTGTAATAAATTTTTACATCTTTCAACACTTGTGATGGAGGTGTGGTGGGGATCAGTGGGCCTCATGACCTGAAGATGTCTTGAATAAACACAAAATCTGAAGTATTTTTGAGGTACGAGGCTGCTACCAAATATATTAATGGCTAATGAAGAAGTACATAAAGTTTTATTCTCAGCTTCTATTATAATTGATACCTTAATGACCCGGACTAAATTATAACACACACACACCCTACTATGATGAACATTACCACAACTATTATTGCAGGAGTTGGGTCTACCAATCACAGACGACCAGATCAAGGAGATGGACGCCAACGTAGAGAATATAGACTACGAGCGTACCGCTAAGGAGGAGCGAGACGCGCACCACGTCATGGCACACGCCCGGACCTTTGGCGCAGGTGTCCAACAGCGCACCGATCATTCACCTGGGGCCAGCGCTGTGTTATGTCGGGGATAACACCGTAAGATGATATCCTATTGTTAGTGTACAGTATTTACATAATGGCAGGAACAGAACAGTATTTACATAATGGCAGGAACAGAACAGTATTTACATAATGGCAGGAACTGAACAATATTTACATAATGGCAGGAACAGAACAATATTTACATAATGGCAGGAACAGAAAAATTTGATGTCACTGGAGAAAGATAATAATAATAACATTTGTATATAATAAATAAACTCTGTATTTATTGGTATATAAGATGATTACAGTTATGTGTTACAGTTGATTATTGTGGTGTTACAGTAGATACAGTATTGCAAAAGTACTGCAGACATTGTGAGAACACACACACACACACACGCTGAACAAACAAACTAGGACATCATCACACACTCATCTCCCGCAGGACCTGATAGTACTCCGTGATGGGTTCGACATCTTGTTACCCAAAGTGGCTCGTTGTCTCCACCGCCTGGCCAAGTTCTCCCTGGAGCAGAAGGACCAACCCACACTGGGCTTCACTCACCTGCAGTAAGTTCTGTTCTTTGTGTTCCTCTCATACACAGGCACAGTAAAACATCACTATGGCGGACTAATTTGGGGGAGGAGGCGTCACTCATAAGGGGTTGTCCGCCTTAGAGCAAATTTCTCAAAAAAGATCTCTATTAATAAACAAAAATCAAATACAACACCAATGTATCCAATTTTTATGAATGAGATACATGTTTTATAATCCAAATTTATTAAAAAAAGTAATGTGCACAAAAAACTGTACACTTGCCCCCAAAATTGGAAGGGTTCTGTGGCAGTCTTCTGATGTGAAGCCCAAATAACATGCTCCTCATCAATGTCATAAAGGAGCTTCTTCCAGGCATTGATGAGGGTTGTTGCCTTGACTTCTTTGGCAGCAGCAAAATTAGAGAGTTGTACCTGAAGTTGTATAACTTCAAGCTTCTGAGGGTCCTCTGCCCTCTGGTGTCCTCCACCTGATCCTCACTTGTCTCTTCCACTTTATCCAAAGACTTGCGTTTAACAGCCTCTTGGCAGCATAAATAACACCTTGATCCATTGGCTGTATGACAGAGGTGGTGTTGGGTGGCACCTGATCCTTCCATCCCTGCTACACAGTGTTGAGATGTGAGGGAGCATTGTCTAAGAGGATGATAGCCTTCACTTCATCAGCAGGGTTTTTCAGATCTTCCACCTGCTTATGCCTGATCAGCATGTTTGAAAAACCAGTCTGAGGTTATGGCTCCTTTAACCATACATTCTTGAAGTTATAGTAGTGGACAGGAAGCTGTACATAATGTCCTGGATTGCACGAGGTTTCTTGCTCTTTCCAACAACCACAGGTGTAAGCATATGGCTCCCATCACCATTTGTACACAGCAATGCATACTTGTTCCTTGGAAAGTTTCCTCCCAGGCACACTTTTTTCACTTCTAGAGGTTTGTGTATTTCTGTAAAGCTCTGCAATAGAGACCAGTTTCATCTACATTGTACAGTTGACTTAATTGAAGGGTTTCAGCTTCCAGCTAGTCCTTCAACTTTTTCCTAAATGGTTCCACAGCATCAATATCAGCACTGAGCCTCTCGCCACATATTTTCTAATTCACAATATTGTGGCGCCTTCCAAATCTAAATAACCAACCAGCACTAGCACTAGCATCCTTTACATTCATATGTGTTGCTCACCTTGCAGCAGCTGCCTGGATTTCCACACCTCTGGCTACTATTCCACTTGCACGTTGCTGTGTACCATTTATACACTGCCTCTTCCAAGTCCTCATTCTCTTAATGCCAGATTTTTCTTGGTCCACATTAAATTTCAAGGCATATTTGTTCAACTTATCTTTAGATTTTCATATATCCCACGCCGACTGCTTTGAAATTCCGTATTCAGGGCAGATTTTATGAGGGAGCAGCACCTTTTTCTAGCTTTTCAAAAACCTTCAACTTTTTGTTCACTGATAAGGTCTTAGGCTTTACCTTCTCACCATCCTTACAGACACCAAACACTTTCTTAGGGGCTATTGTTATTATCTAATTTGTCAATAATAATGCAAAAATATATGTTACTTCAGCCTACAACACAATCACATTACTGGTTAAGTCAAATAAGTTTCAAAATAAAGTTCAAGACGTCTATATAACAATAAAACACAATCGATGGAGCAGAAGTAATGCTATAATGGGTGACTCTAATTTATGACTGAGCGAGTGATGCATAACCCTTTGTTTACCGGTGTCGGTGGATCACGAGGTTTGTCCGCCTTGCTCCCTTGAAATTTTGGTTTATAGCGCATGTCACTTTACGTCAAATTATGCCCTACACAATTCGTTCCAGAAGGTCGGTCATTAGCTGAAAATTTCGTTCACCGAAACCATTGTTTCAATGGGATTTTGGGTAATTGTTTCCAGCTCACCGAAAATTACATTCAACTAAAAATAAATGCAGTAAAGCACACTTACTTTGAGGTGTGCATGTAGAAGGCTCCTGGTTGATGATGATGATGATGGGAATTGGAAGTGGGAGTGGAGGAGAAGGGAGAAGAGAAGGCAGTGGGGTGGAAGAGAAATCATCCATGCTTTATGCCGCCATTTCACCCATAAAAATTTAAGTTCACTTGGTGTAATTCAAGGTTATTTTCTTTAAATCAACACTGCACTTTACTATATATTGTCAATATGTAAAATAAATTTCAGAATGACCAATATATAATTGTACTATAAGAATGTAAAAATAGTTTATGTTCAAGAGAGTCTCACATAAGATGCTTCCTTCACTGAGCAGAGACACAAACTGACGCCATTCTGGGTGAGTCAAGTGGCTGTTTGGCGCGCTAAAAACTTCTTCCTGTACTTCAATTATGTTAATTAATTGTTAAAATGACTAAAAATTTTGGTATAAGACTTGGAAAATTATTGAATAGTACAACCTTCTTGATATTTACTCAAATGGGAATGAATTTAAGCCGTAAAACCAATTACTGTATTGGCAGACTAATATTCCAGCTGGAGAGCAGGCGAAAGCAGTCAAAAACATATTGACACAATTTCGTAAGGATTTCGTTAACCAAATTTTTGTTTGTTAATCGAGTTGAAGATTCTTATGGAAGGTAATTCGTTAACTGAAATTTCGTTCATTAACCGAGGGATCACTGTACGGTGTATATATATACAGTGGTCCCTCGGTTAACGAACACAATTCGTTCCAGAAGGTCGTTCGTTAACCGAATCCATTGTTTCAAGGGATATTGGGTAATTGGTACCAGCTCACCGAAAAGTACCCCATATATAATTTATATTAAGCAATTTTATATCTACTGTATTTGGCTCATGCATTTGACTCGTGTATTTCCCAACCACAGAGTTTTTCAGCAACCTAACAGATCGCAGGTGGTGAGGGACCACTGTACTTTCCTGTTGTTTAAGCCATATTATACTTGTTGTTTAAGCCATATTATACTTGTTGTTTAAGCAATATTATACTTGTTGTTAAAGGCATATTATACTTGTTGTTTAAGCCATATTATACTTGTTGTTTAAGCCATATTATACTTGTTGTTTAAGCCATATTATACTTGTTGTTTAAGCAATATTATACTTGTTGTTAAAGGCATATTATACTTGTTGTTTAAGCCATATTATACTTGTTGTTTAAGCCATATTATACTTGTTGTTTAGCATATTATAATTGTTGTTAGCCATATTATACTTGTTGTTTAAGCCATATTATACTTGTTGTTTGGGTATATTATACTTGTTGTTTAAGGCATATTATACTTGTTGTTTAAGCCATATTATACTTGTTTAGCCATATTATACTTGTTGTTAAAGCCATATTATACTTGTTGTTTAAGTATTATACTTGTTGTTGCCATATATATTGTTGTTGAAAGCCATACATTTGTTGTTTGCCATATTATACTTGTTGTTAAAGCTCATATTATACTTGTTGTTTAAGCCATATTATACTTGTTGTTTAAGCCATATTATACTTGTTGTTTGCCATATTATACTTTGTTGTTTAAGCCATATTATACCTGTTGTTTAAGCCATATTATACTTGTTGTTTGGGCTCATATTATACTTGTTGTTTAAGCCATATTATACTTTGTTGTTTAGGCTCATATTATACTTGTTAAAGCCATATTATACTTGTTGTTTGGGCTTCATATTATACTTGTTGTTTAAGCCATATTATACTTGTTGTTAAAGGCATATTATACTTGTTGTTTAAGCCTATATTATACTTGTTGTTAAAGCCATATTATACTTGTTGTTAAAGGCATATTTATTTGTTGTTTGCTCATATTATACTTGTTGTTAAGCCATATTATAATTTGTTGTTAAAGGCATATTATACTTGTTGTTTGGGCTCATATTATAATTTGTTGTTGCTCATATTATATTGTTGTTTAGCCATATATACTTGTTGTTTAAGCCATATTATACTTGTTGTTTAAGCCATATTATCTTGTTGTTTAGCCATATTATACTTGTTGTTTGCCATATTATACTTGTTGTTGCTTCATATTATAATTGTTGTTTGAGCCATATTATACTTGTTGTTAAAGCCATATTATACTTGTTGTTTAGGCTTCATATTATACTTGTTGTTTTGCCATATTATACTTGTTGTTAAGGCATATTATACTTGTTGTTTGGGTTTACATTATACTTGTTGTTAAAGCCATATATATACTTGTTGTTAGCCATATTATACTTGTTGTTTACCATATTATACTTGTTGTTAAAGCCATATTATACTTGTTGTTAAAGCCATATTATATTGTTGTTTGCCATATATGTTGTTGTTGCATATTATACTTTGTTTTAAGGCATATTATACTTGTTGTTTAGCCATAATATACTTGTTGTTTGGGTTTACATATAATTTGTTGTTTAAGCAATATTATACTTGTTGTTAAAGGCATATTATACTTGTTGTTTGGGCTTCATATTATGCTTGTTGTTAAAGCCATATTATACTTGTTGTTTAAGCCATATTATACTTGTTGTTAAAGCCATATTATACTTGTTGTTAAAGGCATATTATACTTGTTGTTTGGGCTCATATTATACTTGTTGTTAAAGCCATATTATACTTGTTGTTTGGCCATATTATACTTGTTGTTTAAGCCATATTATACTTGTTGTTAAAGGCATATTATACTTTGTTGTTTACCATATTATACTTGTTGTTAAAGCCATATTATACTTGTTGTTTGTTTCATATTATACTTGTTGTTTAGCTCATATTATACTTTGTTGTTAAAGCCATATTATACTTGTTGTTTAAGCCATATTATACTTGTTGTTTAAGCCATATTATACTTGTTAGCCATATTATACTTGTTGTTTAAGCAATATTATACTTGTTGTTAAGGCATATTATACTTGTTGTTTAAGCCATATTATACTTTGTTGTTGGCTTCATATTATACTTGTTGTTTGGGCTCATATTATACTTGTTGTTTAGCCATTATACTTGTTGCTTGGGCTTCATATTATACTTGTTGTTTAAGCCATATTATACTTGTTGTTTAAGCCATATTATATTTGTTGTTTGGGCTCATATATTTGTTGTTTACTATTATACTTGTTGTTTAGCCATACTATACTTGTTGTTTAAGCTTATATATACTTGTTGTTTGGGTCATATTATACTTTGTTGTTTGCCATATTATATTGTTGTTTAAGCAATAATACTTGTTGTTAACCATATTGTTTTGTTTAGCCATATTATACTTGTTGTTTAGCCATATTATACTTGTTGTTTGGGCATATATACTTGTGTTTGGCCATATTATACTTGTTGTTTAAGCCATATTATACTTGTTGTTTAAGCCATATTATACTTGTTGTTTAAGCCATATTATACTTGTTGTTTAAGCCATATTATACTTGTTGTTTAAGCCATATTATACTTGTTGTTTAAGCAATATTATACTTGTTGTTTAAGCCATATTATACTTGTTGTTTAAGCAATATTATACTTGTTGTTAAAGCCATATTATACTTGTTGTTTAAGCCATATTATACTTGTTGTTTAAGCCATATTATACTTGTTGTTTAAGCCATATTATACTTGTTGTTTAAGCCATATTATACTTGTTGTTTGGGCTCATATTATACTTGTTGTTTAGCCATATTATACTTGTTGTTTGCCATATTATACTTGTTGTTTGCTAATATTATACTTGTTGTTAAAGCTATATTATAATTTGTTGTTGCATATTATACTTGTTGTTTACATATTTGTTGAGGCCAGCACAGCTTACCACAGTGGGTAAGAGGGCCAGTCTGTGGCTGCAGGAGCTGCTGATGGATGAGCGAGCCTTGTCCAGGACCCTGCACGCATCCTACGCTTCAGAGGAGTGAAGGGGACCACTGGCACCCAGGCCTCCTTCCTGCAGCTGTTTGAAGGTGATAGTATAGTTCCTGCCCTGTGTCATGTTTTACCTGTGTCATATTAGTTCCTGCCCTGTGTCATGTCTTACCTGTGTCATATTAGTTCCTGCCCTGTGTCATATTAGTTCCTGCCCTGTGTCATGTCTTACCTGTGTCATATTAGTTCCTGCCCTGTGTCATGTCTTACCTGTGTCATATTAGTTCCTGCCCTGTGTCATGTCTTACCTGTGTCATATTAGTTCCTGCCCTGTGTCATGGTTCACAAATAGGGTGGTGGACGAGTGGAACAAGCTTAGCAACTTTGTAGTAAGTGCTGGAACCCTGGAAAGTTTCAAAAGGAGACTGGATAGATTCATGGATGATAGAGAGTGGTAGTAACTCTCGATAGGAGCTGCCATGCACAGGCCAACCGGCCTATTGCAGACTTCTTATTTTCTTATGTTCTTATGTCTTACCTGTGTCATATTCTCACGTGTGTTTGGGCCGAGGCTCAAACCCTTGACATATTGGCGAGAGTTTAGCACGTTACCACTTTACCAGCAAACCTAATCTAACCTATCACTAACATACGACTAAATTCTCGGGTTACTGTTGATGAGAAACTAAGCTGGGCAAACCACATACAAGCCATTCACAGTAAAGTCAATAAACAGTGCAGTATCTTGTATCACACTTGACAGTCACTCACTCTTACAGCAATGAAATAAATCCACCATGATCTTGTTTACCAACACTAGGTATCAGTGGTGTGCCGTGGCTGCACTGATGAGTCATGCAGAACACCCTCATACATCAGTTATCAAGTAGACAATGGCCTTTCTCTAAATAAGGGTTGTCAAGCTTTTATAAACACCTAAAAAACTATTCTAAAATTAAAATATCTTACCTAAAATTTTGCAGTCAAGAAATATTGACTTATATTGAAATTCAGTCGAGATTTTTGCAGAATTCTTCCGAAACACTGTTATAAAACTTTTCTTTTTTCACCGGCCAACTTTTTTCAAAACGATTTTTCAAATTAAAATTCAAGAGAGATGTGAGGGTGTTTGTTGTGTTCGAGCATTTTGTGAATAAGTTTATATTATCTTAAGAGGATCACTCGACAGATGATGTTGACTATGTTAACACTTGTTTAAATCCTTCATTATATTAAACTAAGAGCTCTTCTATGCTGTTTTTAGCAGAGTATAATACAGTCAGTTCTGATCTAACACGACCAAAGTGTGAGTCGTAGTTACTCAAAAGGTCTTTCTGGAAACGTGCCGCTACTTTTTGTACCGATGAAAACGTTTACAATCAATAAGCTCTATGAATTCATTATCCTTCATAGACTTGAATCTTTCTTTTGTTTTCATCCCTGTCCTGTCCACTAGTAAAAGAAAGTGCTTGGTACTGTGTGTGATGTGATAAATTCTGTTTTTTTTCCTAGAAGCAGATGGTGTCACAATTCTCTGCCACATCTTCCCAGATTCGTCAAACTTGGTTCTCTTATTTCTTCAAGTTTGATACTATTTTTTTTTTAATTTCATTGGAACATAATACAGTAAGTCCTCGCTTAACGTCGTGGTTCCGCTCCTGAAAACCGTGACGCCAACGGAATCAATTTTCCCCATAAGAAATAGATAAAGTACAGGAGTTACGTTCCCCAGCCTCCCTTTGCCCCATAAAATACATTACATACTCACTGATGTAGCAGTTTAAAACCTCCATTTTCTTAGCCAGGCTAATGGTCTTACATTGCTTCTTCACAACACTAGCATCAGTAGCACTTGATTGGCACTTGGAAACCATTTCTAATGGTCACAGTGCAGTATTTATAGGAAAAACACTTAAACACGCACCAACGCTGTGGAAGCCTAACAAAGACTGGGGACGCTATGATGCTCCGGTGGTGAGAGCGTGAAGGCCATGATGAGAGAGGGTGATGCACCGTAAAGAGTAGTCCGTGACGACATTATACCGAATTGGCGGGACGTTGTCCTAATCATGGGTATCTAAAGAGTAGCGATGTTTTAATGAAACAACGTTTTGGGGGGGCAACGTTAAACTAGGACTTACTGCACTATGTCCATAGATTTTGATTGCAATAATATATTCTGCACGCTTGGTCTGATGGCCTCTGCAACGATCACTGACTGAGGCCATGTTAATTTGTTACGGTTGGTATTCCTTGTTTGATGCATTGTATAACTTGTATGATGTATTTTTTATATCACATATAGTTAATACAGAGAAATTAACAGGAATCACCCGCCAGAAATGAGTGTTTCCAGAATTCTTGGTCCAGTGTGTCATATTGTATAACACCATAAAGGTGCAGAAAATTTTGTTGTTGACTGAACATAGCAATGGAGATGAAAACAGCGTCAGGTGCTGATTGTTTAATGTTTACTTGGACACCGTTAAGCTCTCTAGACATAACAGCTGCCCCATCATATGTTTGAGCTCTGTTAACTGCCTCACAACTAAGGGTTCAATAGCCTCAACAGTTCTATCTTTACTGACGTCAACAAATCTGATGAACCTTTCACAAATGGTCCCGCTGGAGTCAACGTGAAGCACAACAGTTGAAAGTTGAGAAAAGCATCTTATATCCGAGGTTTCGTCCGCCAATAGATGCACTCTTCAATTTCCTTTTTAATTTCAGTAAGGGTAACAGAGCTTATTGATTCAATGAGATCATTTTGTATGATAGGGACAATCCTTTTAAAAACAGTGGCAGTTTTGAAGTTTTTCATCAAAATCAGCCAAACAGTCTGCTAACTCAACATAACTCCCACGGTTCTCAGATGATTCACTTTCATCGTGGCTACAAAATGCAATTTCTTTCATCCCCAAGTAGTGTGTCGTCCTGATGAGCCTTTTCAAAATTTCTCACCTTTGCCAACTTCTTCATTGTGCTGGTGAGCAACAACCTTTGCCTGTCAAGCTGCAAATCAATTTTATCTTTTCCAAATGTTTTGCAAGTCAAAAATGCTCCCAAATGGGATACGAATTCCTGGTGACGAGCAACAGCAGTATGCAAGTTATTCAAATCTTCATAACCATGACTTACTGAACTCCAGACTGATACCTTTTGAAAAGAGTAAACATGGCCAACAATAACTACTTCCACACAACCAGCTGACACTATCATATAGTTAACCATTGAATTTTCTAGTAAAACCTTTGTTTTGCTTAAATAGATTTAGGCGTGGAGTCGACTTCCCTATTGATGATTGCTTTTCTCTGTAAAAGTGCACCAACTGAAGCATTTTCTTCTCATTTCACTAAACTCATCGTCGTCACCTAATTTTCACAATCTTGGTTATTCATGATGTTAACAGGGCAGTTTACTATCACTAATTAGTTACTGAACACAACACCAGTCTAGGCCACCAGGCTATGTACTGTACTGCCTATTACCTACTGTTTATGTTTGGCTCGTTGCCATTTAATTAACAATCTAAATTACGACTTCACTTAATATTGAGGCCAAAAATAACTCCAAACCTTTCTGCTCTCGGCCCGGGGACAAAGGTTCCCGGTGTTATGAAAGATTGCATCACGTTTAGCTGCATGTTGGTGCCTGGATGGGAAGACTAACTGCTTGGGTAACGCTGGATATTTCTGCTCATGTTCTATTACTGTACAATTATAATTATTTCTTTAAATGTACCAAAAATACAGAGGCAACACTACAGAGGCATCCCCTGGGTTATGGAAGGTTTGTGTCTTCAAAATTTGTCAGAAGCAAAACAAATTTCCCATCGACTTCCATCATATAATTGGAGATGCTTCCTCAGGAAATATTGTTGGCATAAAGGCGTAGTACAAGCACATTTATGAATGAAAATTAATTTTTTAACACATACATTGATTATTTTATGATATAATGTCATAATATACTAAACACTTGAATTTAACTTACCATAAATGATGTTGAGTGAGGTGAGGTGGTCCAGTCAGAGTCACTGTACAGTGTTGTGCCAACCACCAAGAAATACACACCAAATATATTTTATAATTTGTAATTTTTTCTCATACAGTGGTCCCTCGATTAACGAACACAATTGGTTCCACAGAGTCGGTTGTTAACTGACAATTTCGTTAACTGAATCTATTATTTCAATGGGGTATTGGGTAATTGGTTCCAACTCACAGAAAAAGTATACATACAAAGTACTGTATACCAGTAATAGAATTAACAAAACATTAAATATAAACTAAATACAGTGTTGTACTGTACAGTATACTGTACAATAATAATGGAAAACAGTAGAATACTATATTTTAACTTACTTTGAGGTGTGTTTGTCGATTCCGCAGCTTTGTTTACATATCAAACAGCTGATTGTAGAGGCAGTAGATGATGTCATGCCATATTCTTTACAGAGTGCATTGGTTCTAATGCTTTCTTCATGTTTCATAATAATTTCTGCACTGTATATTATCAATATGTTAACTAAATTTCAGAATGACCAATGATTTTAATATAAAAAATGCAAAAGTATTCAAGAGCACAACTTTCTTGATATTTTCTCCACTGGAAACGAATGTAAACATAGAACCAATTACTGTATTGGCGGACTAGCCGATCAGCTGATGCGCACAACAAAGCGTGTTTCTCGTAAGGCTTTTGGAAGTTTTGTTCGTTAATGGAATTGAAAATCCTTATGGGAGCTAATTTGTTCACCGAAATTTCGTTAAGTGGACCGTTCGTTAATTGAGGGACCGCTGTACTTCCTTGAGATAATGTACAGTATATATCAGGTGCCTACAAGAGAGCTCAGGCTCTCAACTGGCTCAGCCATGTTTATATTGTTGAATTGAATTGAAACAGTTTTTTTTTCCAGAAGAACACAGATACAGAGTGGATAATAATAACAATATTAACATGGCTGAGCTAAAGGAGAACCTGGAGCTCTCTGTAGCAATTTTGATATATACTATATGATTTATCCTAAGCAAGTATTATGTAACATTTGGTATCATCTGGGAAATAAGAAAAGGTGTAAATAAGAATGCATGTTACCACGGTTATATTACTAAGTAATTGAACGGATGACATTATTATTGAGTGTTTTTTTATTATAATACCGGTAAATTTAATATAACATAAATTGTTAAGGGGAATTGAAAAACAAAAATATATTGGGGAGCAGTTCAACATGGGTTTACAGCATTATGGTTAAAGAAGAGGAGAGCTAAGTCAGGATTGTCTAGGTAGGCAATTATGTAAATAAAATGGTAATTTCTTATCTATTCACATGATAATTTCCGATAAAATTGTTTTTGATGGTACAATAAAGGCACAAAATATAGATACAAGAAATATTAATACTTAGACAAAAGATATTTTTAAGAGATGACGAAAGGGTGGTTTAGTCTTAAGGTTGGGATGGTGGGGGTGTTGGTTCCATTAATCTTCACAACAGATATTTTATGGCGTCTGGGACTGAGAGGAGCGAGCGGGGGTGGTCTTAGCAGCTCAGGCGCCTTTAAGTTGGTATCTCTGATTATTCCGAACTGAAATAATTAATGTCAAGCAAGTGATTGATAGATTTGTAAAAGCTCAAAAGGAGTGCTGGCAGTAGGTGCGCAATATCTTCAAATTTTAACATTTTCAATGAGCAAATTTCGCTTGTGATCCGCTTTTCAAGCAGGTCAATGTCCGTGACAACTATCTTTTTGTGCAGTAACCAGAGATTGTGTTTTTGGGCTATCAAGAGGCCCCCCCTATGTGTGACAGGATCAAAGTTGGTAACACTTGATGATCATTCATTCGTGAGAGTGAGGACGTCAGCAACACAAGATAATCGCACTGTTTATTTTGACTTAACAGAATGTATTTGGTATGTATTTCTCCAGTTAAGTTTCAACAGTCAGTTAACTCAAGAATTTAGGGAGAGTTTTGTTCACGCTTGAGGACTGTATTACCAGGTACAGGGTCCAAGTCTCGATGCTTTCTGGTGAAAGATCGTATGTGGGTTTTCTAAGGCTTTAAGGTCAGCTAACATGTATTACCCAGGTCCTAATATGATGTCAATCTTAGTGTTCATAGTTCTCACTGGAAGGAAATGAGATTGAGCATGTAGAGATTACTATTGTCTGCAAATAAGTTTTATTTTTATGAGTGTGCTGGCGTGACTTTATTGCTTATGTACAACAAAACAGTACAGGACCCAGAATGGAAACCTTGGGGGACGCTTAAGATTGCCAGAGAGTTGAGCTTGGTGATTATTATAGCAGACAGGTCAGTTCCTGTTGGACAGATATGAGAAACCAATCAGGGACAGGCCCTCAACGTCAGAATACAAGTTCAAGTTTTGAGAGGAGGATGGTAAGGATCGTATACAGTATCAAAATAGAGAGGTCCAAGAATATACCGACGAACTGACTGTCATCAGCGAATTTAAGATGTCATTAGTAAAGGATAGCAGAGCACTCTCAGCCGACCTTCTAGCTCTAAACTGAACCGAGAGTCTGTAAGGATGTTACTGACACTGCAGAAGGAATTTAGTCAACTATATGCTAGCTTTCTCCAGTATCTTACTGGCTGGGAGACTGATATGGGGCTGTAATTTTGAAGAGAATCTTTTGTCCCCAGATTTTTTATAAGTCAGTGTAACTTTAGCAATTTTTCAGTTTATCCAGAAAGACACCACTAGTGAAGGAGGAGTTACAATGTGTAGGAGAACAGGCAGGGTGGGCTACTTTCTTAATGATGCCTCCATTGGTATATTATTCGCCTGCTGCTGCATCTTTGACATTTTTATGATGCCAGTAATTCATCCACAGACAGATAAGGACAGCTCATTTTGCTGTTTGTTTTGCAGGTTTAAATTCTCAGTGGTGATCAGGAGGTTTCGCAAGATTTTTTGCCAACATTATTAAAATTTCGGCTGAAGTGGTTGGCAATGAGGGTGGTCTGCTATAACCGAATCATTTATCATAAGAGTCGAGTGGGGGCCGAAGGCCGAGCGGTTCTGTTCTGGCCAGGAATTTATGACATTTCAGGTTTTCTTTTACTGTCACCTGATGCTGATTGGAGCTTATCGGTGGCAATAGCCGTGCATCTGGCATTTCAACTGCTTGAGCATCAGCTTGGATAAGATGATCAAAGCAAGTATTGAAGATGCAAGAAGTTGCAGCTGTTCACGCGTAGGTTGTCGGAGGCATAGACAAGATCCCAGTTAGTATTCAGTTAGGTTGTTTTTAAAAAGGACATGTTGTCGGTGTAGAAGTCTCTGTATTGTACTGAGACTCTACTAGGCCTTTTCAGGTCTTGTGGTTGTTTTTATACATGGCAAAACTGGGAAGTGATCTGAGATATTATTATAAATAATTCCACTTGCATATTGTTAGAGTGTTGCTAGTCCAGATATGACCTATCAGGCAGAGTGTTACCTAGTGCGTGGTCGGCTATAGTGTGAAGAAGAGTTTAGAATGACAGGTAGCAAGAAGGTCTAATACTGAGGCAAGGTTAGTTTCTTGCCTTAATAGATCAAGGTTGAAATATCCTGTAATGTTGCAAAGTTTCCTCTGAACTTATATGATAAAGATAAGCTCCAGTAACTCTTACTTCAAGAAAGCTGCACTTGCTAGTGTAACTTCTGAAGATCATCTACGAGATATTTTGCCCAACATATAGGGCGACACCACCACTGTAAGTCGCGGACATGTTGATGCAGGTCTATTATGTCAGGAATGGTATAATAACATCGTTAGTGAGTTTATCCTAGAACCAAGAAGCACAGGTCAAATTCTAGCAAGAAGAAAATTGATCTAAAGTAAGATCAGATGAAGGGAATACTGCTGATGTTATGGCTAATTACACAGAAGGAACGGGAGGTGTAGAGAGTAGAACTAAACTGTAGAGTCAGAAAGTGGCTAGTTACAGTTTGGGTTGGTGTGAACTCAAAGTGAGTTTGACAGGCATCAGGATCACTATGAGGGAGTATTGGTCGCACACCATGGATAAAGGGGTGTAACACATACCCGTTACACATCTAAGGAACAACACCAGCATCATCAGTGTAGGAATATTGGTACTGATTAAGGAACAATAAGAACTCAGGGCCTGAGGTGTGAAAAAGGAAGGTCAAAGAAAGTTATAATAGTGGGGTAACGTACTCACAAGTGCTGCAACCAACAGAATTAAGATGACCGGTACTGTTGAGGGTGACTCCCAGATAGAGTGGGAGGTGCGCCTGTCACTTGGTCATGGTTGTTGTTTCCCACTGCAGAGGGTGGATGTGTAATACCGAAGTTGGCCGACGGGGACCTCAGGTGATCTGTGTTATTCTGGCTAAATAAACTGTTTCAATATTAATAACACTAACCTAACCAAACACTTACCTAACACTAACCAAACACTAACCTAACCAAATCAACCTAACCAAACACTAACCTAACCTACAACAATATAATAGTAAATCATCTTGTGTGCTGTAGGTGATCACGAGAAGGTCAAGAGGCTGGACTCCCTGGTGACAAAGATGGCCGGCTTTGACAAGTCGTACCCAGTGTGTGGTCAGACCTACAGCCGCAAGGTGGACGTAGAATGTCTTAATGTGTTGGGTTCACTTGGTGCAACAGCTCATAAGGTGAGTGTGTCTAAAGTGTGTGGTGAGGGTGTGTGTAGTGTGTAGTGAGGGTGTGTGTAGTGTGTGGTGATGGTGTGTGTGGTGAGGGTGTGTGTAGTGTGTAGTGATGGTGTGTGTAGTGTGACCCACATCGGTGCTGGGGGGGGGGAATATAATACAGTACTTGTACAGTACTACTCTCTGAAGATTTGGAGATAATGTGTTGTCTGGTGACTGCTGCCATATGTGAAAGTCCCTGTTGATGATTTGATTTTTTTCCTTCATTACACACAAATTGTAGGTCTCAAGTGTTTCTCTTACTATTGACCTACACAAACATATATTGTTTCTCACTATTGATCATTTTTATTTATTTTTTTAATTATGGTTACTATAATTATCACATTTTATTTTATTAAAATTTTTATATATATATTTTATTTTTATTTTTAATAACAATAATTATATATATACAGATATATATATTATTATTATTATATTATTATTATTATTATTTATTATTATTGTTGTTGTTATTATAATTATATTTTTGCCCCCAAGCTCCCATGTGGGTCAGTGACCTGTTTGGGTGGCTAATGCTCTAAAAAAAGAAACACTTGAGACCCTACAATTGTGTGTAAATGAGGCAGAAAGTCAGATCATCAACCTGGGACTTGGTCACATATGGCAGCAGGGTCTACCATTAGACAACACATTATGCTTCTAATATCTTCCTCCCTGTTTGGTAGCTGCTCTCCTATTGTACATTCATGTTATCACTCTTCAGATTTGCACTGACATACGACTCTTGGCCAGTATGAAGGAACTGGAGGAACCCTTTGAAACGAGTCAGATTGGGTCAAGTGCCATGCCTTACAAGCGCAACCCGATGCGCAGTGAGCGGTGTTGCTCCTTGGCACGCTTCCTCATGGCTCTACCGGCCAACGCCCTCAACACCTCGGCGACCCAGTGGATGGAACGCACTCTAGACGATAGTGCTAACAGGTGATGACTTTTTATTTTTTTTCCTTCCCCTTTACCTCTCAATACAGTTGGAGTAGAAAGAATCTGGGCTCAACCAGAAGCTTCATCTTTCCTATTGGTGTTTTGTCTTTGTTCTGCTCCCTTGGGTCGTCAGACCTTTGTATTAATATTGGTTTATTTATATAGTGCTGCTTAATATTTTCTTTATTTATTTAGTTATTTATTTTTTATACTGCGGTGGAGTTAGTGAGCCCGCTGAGGTCCCTGTGTAGCTATGGCAGTACAGTATATTCTCGATTTAAAGGAATCCAGTATAACAAATTCTCAAATTAGCGGGAGGAATTTTTTCCGTTATTTTTCGCTCAATTTAGTGAACTAGTTCGCTAAATTGAGTTATAATTCCGTTAATACATTCACCCATACGGAGACACCTCAGACACATGATGTGTACGGAGACACCTCAGACACATGATGTGTACGGAGACACCTCAGACACATGATGTGTACGGAGACACCTCAGACACATGATGTGTACAGAGACACCTCAGACACATGATGTGTACAGAGACACCTCAGACACATGATGTGTACGGAGACACCTCAGACACATGATGTGTACGGAGACACCTCAGACACATGATGTGTACGGAGACACCTCAGACACATGATGTGTACAGAGACACCTCAGACACATGATGTGTACGGAGACACCTCAGACACATGATGTGTACGGAGACACCTCAGACACATGATGTGTACGGAGACACCTCAGACACATGATGTGTACAGAGACACCTCAGACACATGATGTGTACGGAGACACCTCAGACACATGATGTGTACATACAAACATTATTCAAGGCTTACCTTAAACTATGGGGTTCGGTGTTTGTTTGAATTTGTTCTATAATTTGCCAACTTTGTTCCAATTGCTAGCTGCCATCTGTTAACTTTATCCCACACACCACTTCCTTTCTGAGACTTATGGCATGATGTCCAAGTACAGTTGACCAAGAGGGAGCAACACACACGGTGGTGGCAGGACACAGACTGAGTGGATGTAAACAAACCCCATACACCGAGTGGCATGTTTGGCGCAGAATTTAACAGAATCTCGCTTGATTTAGTGAACTAATTCGCTAAATTGAGCAAAAATAAAGAAAAGTTCGATTTAGCTGAAATTTTGAAAAGGTCAGGTTAAATTGAGAAAATACTGTAGTAGTAGTGGTAGACATGGTGGTGTAGTAGTATTGGTAGACATGGTAGTAGTATTAGTAGTAGTGGTAGACATGGTAGTAGTATTAGTAGTAGTAGCGATCAGAACAAACTGTGTGATGTTGATGGGGGAATTCAGCTGGATATCCTCTGTGTAACTTTATCATGGTTGTATTAATCAGACCAACATTATTCTTCCCAAGACACATTCTCCATTTCATGTTCCCAGACCTGCTGCAGGAGCTCTGGGTGGTGATGTGTACTGATAGTTGCTTATGTATTAGGATAGTTAATATTAAGGTAAATAAATGGTGGCGAAGGTGTGGCTATTGGGGGAGGCTGGAGGCCACGTGGTAGACATGGTAGTAGTATTAGTAGTACTGTAGTAGTAACTCAAGTTAACATTACAGACGCATAAGCCTGGCAGAATCGTTCCTGGTGGCAGACAGTGTCCTCACCACCCTGCAGAACATTATGGAAGGTCTCGTCGTCTACCCCAGAGTGATCAGTCGACACATCGCTCAGGAGCTTCCGTTCATGGCCTCGGAGAACGTCATCATGGCTATGGTCAAGGCTGGGGGTAATCGACAGGTAAGAGTCCGACTAATTTATGTTTTATACACCAGTACTTGTCGACAAAGCTTACAGCGCCCTCCTTCAATCCATAAACAGTGTGTGTGCCTAATGTCTGTGCGATCAGAACAAACTGTGTGATGTTGATGGGGGAATTCAGCTGGATATCCTCTGTGTAACTTTATCATGGTTGTATTAATCAGACCAACATTATTCTTCCCAAGACACATTCTCCATTTCATGTTCCCAGACCTGCTGCAGGAGCTCTGGGTGGTGATGTGTACTGACCTGCTGCAGGAGCTCTGGGTGGTGATGTGTACTGACCTGCTGCAGGAGCTCTGGGTGGTGATGTGTACTGACCTACTGCAGGAGCTCTGGGTGGTGATGTGTACTGACCTGCTGCAGGAGCTCTGGGTGGTGATGTGTACTGACCTACTGCAGGAGCTCTGGGTGGTGATGTGTACTGACCTGTTGCAGGAGCCTGGGCAGGATGTGTACTGACCTGCTGCAGGAGCTCTGGGTGGTGATGGGTACTGACCTGCTGCAGGAGCCTGGGTGGTGGTGTGTACTGACCTGCTGCAGGAGCCTGGGTGGTGATGTACTGGGACCCGGCTGCAGGAGCTCTGGGTAGGAGATGTGTACTGACCTGCTGCAGGAGCTCTGGGTGGTGGTGTGTAATTTGTATCTCATGTAGGAGCCTGGGGTGGTGGTGGCACTGACCTGCTGCAGGAGCCTGGGTGGTGGTGTGTACTGACCTGCTGCAGGAGCTCTGGGTGGTGGGTGTGTACTGACCCTGCTGCAGGAGCTCTGGGTGGTGGTGTACTGGACCCGCGCTGCAGGAGCCTGGGTGTGATGTACTGACCTGCTGCAGGAGCCTTGCAGATGTACTGGACCTGGCTGCAGGAGCCTGGGTGGTGGTGTGTACTCTGTGGTCTCAAGGCAGGAGCTCTGGGTGGTGGTGTACTGACCTGCTGCAGGAGCTCTGGGTGGTGGTGTGTACTCTGTGGTCCTGCTGCAGGAGCTCTGGGTGGTGGTGTGTACTCTGTGGTCCTGCTGCAGGAGCTCTGGGTGGTGGTGTGTACTCTGTGGTCTTGCTGCAGGAGCTCTGGGTGGTGGTGTGTACTCTGTGGTCCTGCTGCAGGAGCTCTTGGTGGTGATGTGTACTCTGTGGTCTTGCTGCAGGAGCTCTGGGTGGTGGTGTGTACTCTGTGGTCTTGCTCAACACTGGACTCATTGGTACTGATTGTGTTTTCCTCCTTTGAATGCATGGAAGCATTAATAATTCTTCACCACCAAGTTATTAGAAATGCTGTTGTGTATCATCCTGGTCACCCAGGTACAGATCGGGAATTCATGGATCAATTTGGTTTGTTTCTTGAGACTTTCTCAGGAAGGAATGGGTGACCATTTATATGTGCTCACTTTAATTATTGTTTTGACAACCCATCTCTGAAACCTTTTTCTATTGACTTGGAAATTCTCGATAAAACTTTTTTTGTCAATCTTGTGTCGTGTCCAACACATCCTCCTGGACACACACTAGGCCTAGTTTTGTCTCTTGTTGACTGTGATTGTGTATTAGCTGTTGCAGTTGACCTGATAGATCCAGCAATCTCTGACTGAAGTTTGGTTACTTTTGGTTTTAATGTCCCAGTTATTGTCCAGAGGTCACCAAGAGAATTACAGTACAAGATGACTCTATGGTATGACTCCTCTTTAAGTAGGCAGCTACCAAACAAGGAGGTACTACCGCCTGGGAAGATATTGGAGGCATAATGTGTTGTCTAATGGTAGACCCTGCTGCCATATGTGACCAAGTCCCAGGTTGATGATCTGACTTTCTGCCTCATTTACACACAATTGTAGGGTCTCAATAAATATAACTGTACTCACTCATGATATGTTCTATTCTTTCTATTTTATTCTCCTATGTTATCAGTTGACATTAGTATTAAAGTGGGGCCTTCTCAGATGGGTCCCACTGGTCGGGAAGGTTGTGGACCCCAGGGCCAACCTGATCATCATCAAACTACTGGGGCCTCAACTGACGTCACTCCTTCACCTTCTGTTTCCTTCATGTTGTCAAGCAAAGATCTGGCCTCATGCTGGATAACCATAAGGCTCACAGGGGCATTGTGTTGATTCTGGTCCTCCATCCACATTGCCAGCATCTTTTCCACCTTCTCTATCACAGTGCTTCTAGTCCGAGTCATCTTAGTAGCACTCAGAGAAGAACCACTTCCAGCATTAACCTTAATCTTGTCAGCGTTGGTCTGGATAGTACACACTGTTGTAGGGGTTACACCAAGCACAGCGGCTATGTCCACTGCACGTTCCCCTTTTTCAAATCGGATTAATACATCCATTTTCGTAGCCAGGGTAATGGTCTTACGTTGCCTCTTCACTACACGAGCATCAGTAGCACTTGCTGGGTGCTTGGAAACCATTTCTAATGGCTATAGTACAGTTTTAGAGCAACAGCACTTAAGCACACACAAATGATGTGAAGTCGTAACAGAGGCTGGCTTGGCGTCGCTTGGGGACGCTGTGACGTTCCACAAGTGAGGGCAGCGTGCAGAGCCGAGAGAGCGTAGTGCGGCCAGACAAGAGCGGGTGATGCACCGTAGAAAGTAGTCCGTGACGATGCAAAATGATGTCGTATCGGATCACCGGGACATTAAACGAATTTTTGGTCTTTAAAGTTCAGCGACATAGTACCGAAACAATGTTAAGCGAGACGATTTTAAGCGAGAACTTGCTGTCCTCAAATTAATTGCTGTCTTATACGGATTCAAGCAATGCAAGATATATTTTTCTACGTTAAGTCAGTAATATTTTTTAAGGAAACAATAATTACTCCCATGCACCACACATCTCTACCTTCACTTGTAAGCCTACCCACATGCCGCCACTCGGCCAATCCGCACACTGGTTCTTTGTTGATCGTAAACCCGACATCATATAGCTCCACTATTATCGGTCAGTATCGAACATTGTACTTATCATTGGTGTTTTTTTCTTATACACAGTGAGAGGACAGCATTGACATTTAAATTGATCTGTGTTTTACTGGCTGAAATTATATTTTCTGTGTTTTCGTGACTAAGGTGCTCGACTGTTGTTTTGAAAATGTGAGAAGTGTCGGCCGCACTTATTGATTTTGTTATCATCATTCACTCAGTTTTTTGTGACTGTGAAGTGAGCAGTGTAACTTTAAAACTGTCTGGGAAGGCCAAGACAACTGTGTGTCTGAGGTGAAGCTCGACATTGTGAAGCAGCATGAGACTCCCCAGAGGCTGTGTGGGACTCAGAGTAATGTCTCCACTCCACCTACAAGACTCCCCTTAGCCTCGAAGGGGACATGTGTTGTCGGTGATACGTGTGTGTTTGGGGACTGGCTGAGAACGTATCCCATTGTACCTGTTTAGTCCTGGACAAATATGTTAGGATGCTGATAGTGACTCCTGGTACTGTACTTGTTGTTGTGTTTACTACAGTAGTTGTAAGTCAGGGGTTGAGCAGATGTAATGGTGTAGATGATGCTGAGGCTATTTGATTTACCTCATTCAATACTTACCTAAATATTGTTAATACTGAACAGCACTGTGTCCTACTGCAGTACATAACGGTTGTTTTATCTCATGCTAGGAGTGCCACGAGGAGATCCGGGTCCTGAGTCAGGCGGCAGGGAACAACGTCAAGCAGGAGGGCGGTGAAAACGACCTGGTAGAGAGGATCAAGGCCGCCCCTTACTTCACTCCCATACACGACCACATTGATGACCTCCTCGACCCAGCCACCTTTATTGGACGAGCTCCCCAGCAGGTGAGTCTGCTCTTAACCCACCACCACCAGCCACCTACTTGTGGGTTATAACTGTTAACATTATCATCTACTTGTGGGTTATAACTGTTAACATTATCATCTGCTTGTGGGTTATAACTGTTAACATTATCATCTACTTGTGGGTTATAACTGTTAACATTATCATCTACTTGTGGGTCATATCATATCGTGTTTGTCTTACACTTGGTCAACTCTGCTTTTCATTATAAATTATACCAGAACAACAACATTGTATAATATCATATCATAAACATCAGAGCCGCACCTGACCCCCAAGCAGACCAACACTGTCCACACCTGTTTATTTTTACAGTATTTTATTTATTAATTTATTTTTTACAGGTGGAGGAGTTTATCAAGGAGGAAGTCGAACCTGTATTGAAGAAGTATGAGGGACAACTGGGTGGTACTGTGTCTCTCTCCATTTAGATTATGTTGTTAATACTACCACACAGTGTACTGTACTGTACTGGTAGGTTGCGTAATACAGTATGCTGGTATATTGTGTAATACAGTATACAGGTAGATTGAGTAATGCAGTATACAGTACTGTACTGTACTGGTAGGTTGCGTAATACAGTATGCTGGTATATTGTGTAATACAGTATACAGGTAGATTGAGTAATGCAGTATACAGTACTGTACTGTACTGGTAGGTTGCGTAATAAAAGTATATAATGCTTTATAGTGTACATTAAGTATAGATGACTTGTTATATAACAGTTAATAAATGTCAGTGCCATTATTTCATACATTATTGTTTCAGAATGTCTCTTCAGGTCACAAATTATACAGTGTATAATAATTTGTGTACTGACTGATTATAAGGATATTTCTTTTCATTATAATACAGGGTGAGAGAGCCAGTTCTTGGTGTGGGTGAGAGAGCCAGTTCTTGGTGTGTGGGTGTGGGAGAGCCTGGGGTTCTTGTGTGGGGTGAGAGGAGCCTGTCTCTTTGGTGTGGGGTGAGAGTCAGTCTTTGGTGGTGGGAGAGCCAGTTCTGGTGTGTGGGGTGGGAGAGCCTGCCCTTGGTGTGGGTGGGAGAGCCAGTTCCAGGGGTGGGAGACCAGTTCCTAGGGTGTGGCTGGGGAGAGCCAGTTCCTGGTGTGGGTGGGAGCCTGGGGTTCTTAGGGTGTGGCTGGGAGGAGCCAGTTCTCAGTGGTGGGAGAGCCTGGGTTCTTGTGTGGAGAGCCAGTTCCTGGTGGGGCGGGAGAGCCAGTTCTGGTGTGGGTGGGAGAGCCAGTTCTGGGTGTGGGGTGGGAGAGCCAGTTCTTGGTGTGGGGTGAGAGAGCCTTTGGGTTCTTGGTGTGGTTGGGAGAGCCAGTTCTTGGTGTGGTGGGAGAGCCAGTTCTGGTGGGTGGGAGAGCCAGTTCTTGGTGTGGGTGAGAGAGCCAGTTCTTAGGTGTGGGTGGGAGAGCCAGTTCTTGGTGTGGGTGAGAGAGCCAGTTCTTAGGTGTGGGTGGGAGAGCCAGTTCTTGGTGTGGGTGAGAGAGCCAGTTCTTGGTGTGGGTGGGAGAGCCAGTTCTTAGGTGTGGTTGGGAGAGCCAGTTCCCAGTCTAAGACAACCTTGATTGTTTCCTCCATTAGCTAAGTCAACAATTATGTTATTGTTCCGGAATTGTAACTCAACAATTTAGGACTGTGTGAAATAAATGATACACAATAATAGAGAAGGAAGTTCACCTCCATCATCAACAACACATTCGGATAACTTGTGGATAAACTACTTTGTAATACATCTTCATTACTGTAACTTTGTTAGATTTTTCATAATAAATGTTTAAAATGAAGCAGATTATGTGTAATGAATTGTTTGGTTAGGTCAGGTCAGGTAAGGTTAAGTTAGGTTAGGTCAGGTCAGGTAAGGTTAAGTTAGGTTAGGTTAGTTTTGACTGTTATCATTATGTTTTGTTGCCAGACATAAGAGGGTTTGTTGTGGTGTGTCAGGATGGCTGTACTGGTCCATCTTATCACTGAGTGCCTTATGTGTAGTATCTCTCTCTCTCTCTCTCTCTCTCTCTCTCTCTCTCTCTCTCTCTCTCATGCTGTTATTTGTGGTAATATTTAATAAACTACTCTGTTTTATCATTAATTATTAGTTGTAATTTCCCTTCAATTTTAGAATGTTAAGTAGACATGTTGACGATAATTTTTTTTTTTACTATTTGTGACCAGTGGTTAGGTACTTATATCCCCACTCAATGGTTTAATACTGTATACACTACACAATGGTTTAATACTGTATACACTACACAATGGTTTAATACTGTATACACTACACAATGGTTTAATACTGTATACACTACACAATGGTTTAATACTGTATACACTACACAATGGTTTAATACTGTATACACTACACAATGGTTTAATACAGTATACACTACACAATGGTTTAATACTGTATACACTACACAATGGTTTAATACTGTATACACTACACAATAGTTTAATACTGTATACACTACACAATGGTTTAATACTGTATACACTACACAATAGTTTAATACTGTATACACTACACAATAGTTTAATACTGTATACACTACACAATGGTTTAATACTGTAATCCACTACACAATAGTTTAATACTATATACACTACACAATAGTTTAATACAGTATACACTACACAATAGTTTAATACTGTATACACTACACAATGGTTTAATACTGTATACACTACACAATGGTTTAATACTGTATACACTACACAATAGTTTAATACTGTATACACTACACAATAGTTTAATACTGTATACACTACACAATGGTTTAATACTGTATACACTACACAATGGTTTAATACAGTATACACTACACAATAGTTTAATACTGTATACACTACGCAATGGTTTAATACTGTATACACTACACAATGGTTTAATACTGTATACACTACACAATAGTTTAATACTGTATACACTACACAATAGTTTAATACTGTATACACTACACAATGGTTTAATACTGTATACACTACACAATGGTTTAATACTGTATACACTACACAATGGTTTAATACTGTATACACTACACAATGGTTTAATACTGTATACACTACACAATAGTTTAATACAGTATACACTACACAATGGTTTAATACTGTATACACTACACAATGGTTTAATACTGTATACACTACACAATAGTTTAATACAGTATACACTACACAATGGTTTAATACTGTATACACTACACAATGGTTTAATACTGTATACACTACACAATAGTTTAATACTGTATACACTACACAATGGTTTAATACAGTATACACTACACAATGGTTTAATACTGTAATCTACTACACAATGGTTTAATACTGTATACACTACACAATGGTTTAATACTGTATATACTACACAATGGGTTAATACTGTGTACACTACACAGTGGTTTGATACTGTAATCCACTACACAATAGTTTAATACTATATACACTACACAATAGTTTAATACAGTATACACTACACAATAGTTTAATACTGTATACACTACACAATGGTTTAATACTGTATACACTACACAATGGTTTAATACTGTATACACTACACAATAGTTTAATACTGTATACACTACACAATAGTTTAATACTGTATACACTACACAATGGTTTAATACTGTATACACTACACAATGGTTTAATACAGTATACACTACACAATAGTTTAATACTGTATACACTACGCAATGGTTTAATACTGTATACACTACACAATGGTTTAATACTGTATACACTACACAATAGTTTAATACTGTATACACTACACAATAGTTTAATACTGTATACACTAGCTATAAATGGTTTTTCTAATACTGTATACACTACACAATAGTTTAATACTGTATACACTACACAATGGTTTAATACTGTATACACTACACAATAGTTTAATACTGTATACACTACACAATAGTTTAATACTGTATACACTACACAATGGTTTAATACAGTATACACTACACAATGGTTTAATACTGTATACACTACACAATGGTTTAATACTGTATACACTACACAATAGTTTAATACTGTATACACTACACAATGGTTTAATACTGTATACACTACACAATAGTTTAATACTGTATACACTACACAATGGTTTAATACTGTATACACTACACAATGGTTAATACAGTATACACTACACAATGGTTTAATACTGTATACACTACACAATGGTTTAATACTGTATACACTACACAATAGTTTAATACTGTATACACTACACAATGGTTTAATACTGTATACACTACAGTTTAATACGTATACACACAATGGTTTAATACTGTATACACTACACAATGTTTAATACTGTATACAAAATTTAATACTGTATACACTACACAATGGTTTAATACTGTATACACACACAATGGTTTAATACTGTATACACTACACAATGGTTTAATACTGTATACACTACACAATGGTTTAATACTGTATACACTACACAATGGTTTAATACTGTATACACTACACAATTTAACAGTTGACAATGGTTTAATACTGTATACACTACACAATGGTTTAATACTGTATACACTACACAATGGTTTAATACTGTATACACTACACAATGGTTTAATACTGTATACACTACACAATGGTTTAATACTGTATACACTACAATGGTTTAATACTGTATACACTACACAATGGTTTAATACTGTATACACTACACAATGGTTTAATACAGTATACACTACACAATAGTTTAATACAGTATACACTACACAATAGTTTAATACTGTACACTAACAATGGTTTAATACGTATACACTACTGGTTTAATACTGTATACACTGGTTTAATACTGTAACACTACACATTTAATACTGTATCACCATGGTTTAATACTGTACACTACACAATGGTTTAATACTGTATACACTACACAATGGTTTAATACTGTATACACTACACAATGGTTTAATACTGTATACACTACACAATGGTTTAATACTGTATACACTACACAATGGTTTAATACTGCATACACTACAATAGTTTAATAAACAGTATACACTACACAATAGTTTAATACTGTATACACTACACAATGGTTTAATACTGTATACACACAATGGTTTAATACTGTATACATTACACAATGGTTTAATACAGTATACACTACACAATAGTTTAATACTGTATACACAACAATGGTTTAATACTGTATACACTACACAATGGTTTAATACAGTATACACTACACATGGTTTAATACTGTATACACTACACAATAGTTTAATACAGTATACACTACAAATGGTTTAACACAGTATACACTACACAATAGTTTAATACTGTATACACTACACAATGGTTTAATACAGTATACACTACACAATGGTTTAATACTGTATACACTACACAATGGTTTAATACTGTATACACTACACAATAGTTTAATACTGTATACACTACACAATGGTTTAATACACAGTACACACAGTGTGGCAGGCAGAACACACAGTGTAGCAGGCAGTACACACAGTGTGGCAGGCAGCACACACAGTGGCAGGCAGTACACTCAGTGTGTGGCATGCACACAGTGTGTGGCAGGCAGTACACACTGTGGCAGGCAGTATACACAGTGTGGCAGGCAGTACTACAGTGTGGCAGGCAGTACACACTGTGTGTGTGGCAGGCAGTATACACAGTGTGGCAGGCAGTACACACTGTGGCAGGCAGCATACACTGTGACAGGCAGTATCACAGTGTGGCAGGCAATACACACTGTGGCGGGTAGTGCACACACTGTGGCAGGCAGCACACACGGTGTGACAGGCAGTACACACTGTGTGGCAGGCAGTACACACTGTGGCAGGCAGCATACACTGTGACAGGCAATACACACAGTGTGGCAGGCAGACACACTGTGGCAGGTAGTGCACACACTGTGGCAGGCAGCACACACGGTGTGACAGGCAGTATACACTGTGTGGCAGGCAGTACACACACTGTGGCAGGCAGTACACACAGTGTGGCAGGCAGTACACACAGTGTGTGGCAGGCAGTACACACGGTGTGGCAGGCAGTGTACACAGTGTGGCAGGCAGTACACACAGTGTGGCGGGCAGTACACACAGTGTGGCAGGCAGTACACACGGTGTGGCAGGCAGTATACACTGTGTGCAGGCAGTACACCCAGTGTGGCAGGCAGCACACATGGTTTGGCAGGTACACACAGTGTGGCAGGCAGTACACAGTGTGGCAGGGGTACACACAGTGTGGCAGGTACACACGGTGTGCGGCAGTACACACAGTGTGGCAGGCAGTACACACAGTGGCAGGCAGTACACACAGTGTGGCAGGCAGCACACACGTGTGACAGGCAGTATACACTGTGTGGCAGGCAGTACACCCAGTGTGGCAGGCAGCACACATGGTTTGGCAGGCAGTACACACAGTGTGGCAGGCAGTACACACAGTGTGTGGCAGGCAGTACACACAGTGTGGCGGCAGTACACACAGTGTGGCAGGCAGTACACACGGTGTGGCAGGCAGCACACACGGTGTGGCAGGCAGTATCACAGTGTGTGGCAGGCAGTACACACTGTGGCAGGCAGTACACACGGTGTGGCAGGCAGTACACACAGTGTGGCAGGCAGTACACACAGTGTGGCAGGCAGTACACACGGTGTGGCAGGCAGTACACACAGTGTGACAGGCAGTGCACACGGTGTGGCAGGGCAGTGCACACAGTGTGGCAGGCAGTACACACGGTGTGGCAGGCAGTACACACGTGGCAGGCAGTGCACATGGTGTGGCAGGCAGTACACACGGTGTGGCAGGGCAGTACACACAGTGTGTGGCGCAGTACACACAGTGTGGCTGGCAGTACACACGGTGTGGTAGGCAGTACACACAGTGTGGCTGGCAGCGCACATGGTGTGGCAGGCAGCACACAGTGTGGCAGGCAGCACACACGGTGTGGCAGGCAGTACACACAGTGTGGCTGGCAGCACATGGTGTGGCAGGCAGTACACACAGTGTGGCAGGCAGTACACACAGTGTGGCGAGTGCAGTACACACGGTGTGGCAGGCAGTACACACAGTGTGGCAGGCAGTACACACAGTGTA